GGCTGCTACAAAGCTTACCGTGAGTCTTTCCAGTCGAACTTGGTAGTTTTTATTCTGCAATGTTGCTTTGGCCTTTAGCACGAGTTCCGATGATCCCGGGGCCTTTGACTTTATTCTTGGCCTCTGTCCCAGATTAACATTGACTAACCTTTAATAAGGGCCTACTGCACAGGGTTGTGGTAACATGTGGCAAGCTGGAAGCACAGGTGATTAGCAGGAAGAGCTCTGATAAGGCTAAATGGAAATGTCATTTTTTATTATGGTTTTCTCACCTTCATATTATTTTAACCATCTTGACCTGTTTCTGCATCTTCCAGAAAACAAGTGGCTGGCAGTTGGGAGAAACAGGATGTTAGAATGGCTTCTTTTAATGCTCTTGTTAAAGAAGAAAATGGTTTTTCCATTTCCATTTTAATGGTACATATTTGTACTGTGTGGGAAACTGGTTAACAATCTTCTAACCATGTTTCCTCAAAAGTGTGATCTCTGCTGGCCTGTAGGATTTACTCGCCAAAAGGCAAGCAACTATACACTTCCTCTGCCTCGATCCTCTTCTTTGCAGAAAGCCGGTCACCTCTGCCTTTCAGCCAGACGGTGATTTAAAGCTTCACTATTCTCCCACTTGCTAAACATCCAAGTCCCGTAGGACTTACTATAACTTTTCTACTCAGCTGAAGGATATGCTGCATTAAGTACCATTGTTTCCCTTTGTAGAATACATATCTACATATATGTGGAGGCGGCCTTCGGGTGCCTGCTCCGTGTGACTTGCTGAGCCACTCAAAGACTTGCTTAAACATATGCTGGGGGCCCTTTTGCACCTGCTCGTCTCGGAGGAAGTGGGGACATGCAACACCTCTATTCCTTCCTCTCTGATCTCCCGTAAAGTTTAGGCTGCCTTCACCAATAGCTGCAAAGACTTTAAAATACGCCTCCACCCCTGGGCAAAGCGAAACTATTGAGAAAGGCGGAGAAGAGCCTTCCTTGTGAGGTGTCAGCAAACTTTTTACTTGCATTCATCTCCTGTATGGCAAATGACTCTCTCTGGCTTTGTCCTATTGCCTAGTAATAGCTCTAGCTACTCCAGCTTCCTCGTTGTGCCTGTTGCAGCTTCATTGTCATCAACAGGTGGGAAAGTCTGTTGTTGTTTCAACCTCTGTCCCTCCCTTTCCCAGCGTGCCACGTGCAATTTACCCTAAAGACTTTCCTGCTATTTGCCAGACAAATACTCCTCCCTCCACCCCACCTCTGTCTGTGTCTCCCAAGGTGATGTGTGTACATTGTCTCTCCCTTTGCTCGTCCCTGTGGCAATCTCCACTGGCAGAGCTGCTGTGTACCTTTATGCCGTGTCCAACGAACGAATGGCCAGGGAACAGGGACTTCATGACATTTAGCTGCTTTTTTTCTTTTTTTTTCTGTTTTCTAAAAGGAAAGCAGAGAATGTCTCCTGCTGGAGGAGATCAATGGGAGGATGGCAGCTGGTTGGAAGAGAAGGGTTGAGCCTGTGTTTGTTTTTTTTTTCCCTTGCTGAGGTCCTGAGAAAAGTGCATCTGATAAAGATAGCATTCCTGTGAAGAAGAAATTCCCCACTGGCTGGCTGCAAATATCAATTTTACAAGGCGGTTCTTGATTGAGACATCAGCAGGATGAAACGGTTCCCTCGCTGATTTCTGGTTCATGCTCAGAACTAATATATGGACAAGTAGTAGGAAAGCTAAAACCACCTACGGCTTTCTAGCTTTGGATACATGGGTTCCTGATGGGTACACTGATGGTGTTATCTGGTTTGGGTAATGAAACGTCTGCAAAAAAAACAACAACCACCAAGCTCAGAGAGTACCAAGGATCCCCCCCCCTTTCATCCTGGAGCTACAAATATTCTCCTTTTTCAGTTTTTAATCGTCAGGGATTACTGAATCCTGCAAAACTAGAAAAGGTTTGAACTTGTTCCTATTTAGGAGGAAGTGTCCCTCTTTAAGATGGCACAAGATATTCTGATTTAACCTAAGGCAGCTCCTTGCCTCCTAAGGTTGCATATGAAAATATCTGCCACCTAATGAATTTGTAGCTAAGGAGAGTTCTTGGGGAATACTCCTCTCATCATTTCTCACGCAGCATGAAGGAGACAGAACTATGATGATCCAAAAATACCCTTGGCCCAAGTCTTTACCTTGGCTGAGAATCCTCTAGGCAGGGGTAGGCAACCTTGGCTCTTTTATGACTCGTGGACTTCAACTCCCAGAATTCCTGAGCCAGCACGGCTCAGCTTGGAAACCTCTCCCTTTCACCTCAGCATGGCTGGCTCAGGAATTCTGGGAGTTGAAGTCCACGAGTCATAAAAGAGCCAAGGTTGCCTACCCCTGATCTAGGTGGCTTTAAACTAATGTTTATTGGCCTCATTTCAGGCATGAATATATTACAGGTAGTCTTCGACTTACGACCACAACCGAGCCCAATATTTCTGTTTATGAGCAAGACGTTTGTTAAGTGAGTTGTGCCCCATTTTATGACCTTTCTTGCCACAGTTGTTAAGTGAATCACTGCAGTTATTAAGTTAGTAACACTGTTCTTAAGTGAATCTGGCCTCCCCATTGACTTTGCTTGTCAGAAGGTCGCAAAAGGGGATAACATGACCCCGGGACGCTGCAACCGTCATAAATACAAGCCAGTTGCCAAGTGTTGAAATTTTGATTATATGACTATGGAGATGATGCAACGGTCACAAGTGCGAAAAACGGTCATAAGTCACTTTTTCAGTGCTGTTATAACTTTGAACAGTCACTAAAACTGTTGTAAGTCAAGGAGTACTTTTATAGGACTTCCTGCTTGAGCAGGAGGTTGGACTAGAAGACCTTCAAGGTCCCTTCCAAGTATTCCATTCTATTCTATTCTATTTTCTGTTCTATTCTGCATTCTATTCTGTTTTGCATTCTATTCTATTTTCTATTCTATTCTGCATTCTATTCTATATTCTATTCTGTTCTGTTCTATTTTTATTCTATTCTGCTCTATTCCCTTCTGTATTGGTCTCGCTTATAGAGAGGTGATAAAAATTACAGAGAAGAGAGTCATCTATCCTTGTGGATTTACAAGCACATCTGGAATTTTGAGGGCATATTATGGGCTGCATAGGTGCCATGTAGGGCATGGGACTCCCCATTCACTTTATCCATGTTCTAGTCACACAACGAGTGAGAAAACAATCAGATGGGGCATAGGAGTCTGGAGGAAGCTAACAAAGACCCCTGTGGTTGTATTATAAAGCTGATATGAAAGGAGATGTGCTTCGCATTCAAGAGGACTCGTTCCTAAACAAGCGTAGAATTTCATCCTATCTTTTTTTCTTTTCTTCCAACGATGAACTCCACAATGTGGACACACAACTCCAGAGCCCCAGGCCGGCATTATAAAAATCCAGGAAAGCATTCCCAACCCAAACACCTTTCCTAAGATCTGGATTGCAATGAGATGAATTCCAAGTTCCTTATGCGGGATGGTAGAACCAGTTCTCCCCTCCCTATTCTCATCAGAAAATGTGTCTGTGCTTTTGTGTGTTAAGAAATGCTGGGGTTTTGTGTGTGTCTGTTGTCTTTTTTCCAGGTTTTTGCAGTTGCTTCAGAAGCTGTGGGTGTCTGCTTGTCTGTCCACACATTTCACGTCATTTGTAAAGACAGCCAGAAACAAATTCTGAAGCAGCTATGCAAGTTTGAAAGGGGAAGGGGCCAAAAACCCAGATGCTATAATTGTTGGGGGTGGGAGATGTTTTGTACAGCTTCTGCATATTCTAAATCATCTCTTTCAAGAGATTTGGACAGCCTAGTAATTTAGATTAACAGCAATGGTGGCCGGGGCCCCCATAACTTTTTATTCTGCAGTAGAGGTAGTCCTGAACTTAATAAGAATTCATTTAGCGACCATTTGAAATTACAATGGCACTGAAAAAGTGACCCATGACTGTTTTTTTTCATGCTTACGACCATTGCAGCATTCCCACGGTCATGTCCAACTTCAGCCGCTTGGCAACTGACTCACATTGATGACGGTTGCAGTGTCCCTGAGTCATGTGATCCTCTTTTGCGACCTTCTAACAAGAAAGTTCAATGGGGAAGGCAGAGTCACTTAACAACCCTGTTACTATCTTAGCAACTGCAGTGATTCCCTTAACAACTTGCAGCAAGAAAGTTCATAAAATGGGGCAAAACTCACTTAACAACTGTCTTGCTTAGCAACAGAAACTGTGGGCTCAGATGTGGTCTGTATCGCCTGAGCAATACTGCCTTGCCCTTCAGAATAAGAGGGCTCTGAGGATGCAGGAAGGAGTCACGTGCCTTTTTGGCTTGCAGGTGTTTCCCCATTTTAAAGTTTCTCCCTCCCCCCCCCCAGCCAGCAACTTTGAAAAAGAGGACCTGTTAAAAGAAAATTAGATTCTTCATCTATTCAATACTGCCCCCTCCAGCTTCTTTTTATTAAGCAAAATAGTCAAGCTATATATTATTCTAGCATGATCCTTACTGATCCCTTTGCGAGGTACTTCGGAGTGGCATCCCTGGGACACATATATGTGCAGTGGGGCTCAAGCAAGCTGACGGTGGCTTTGAGGAGAGAGGTGGAAGAACATTGCTTCAGGGCTGCCACTGAGAAGTGGTCCAACTATATGAATTTGCCTTTAAAAAAAACGTGAAGGAAGGCTAGTCCCAAGTGAGCTGCAAAACACTTATTTGGCATTGCTTACTCTGCACTGCACCTTCAGCAGACAGAAACGGGAAGAATCTTGCTGACTGTAGAATTCCCCCCCCCCCAAATTTAAGCGTCGAGAGACCACCAGGACTACAAGCCATATCAAAAAGCTGGCTTCAGAGAACTGTAGGAAGATAACCGTAAGCCGTTGACGGAAGCCTGCCAAGAAGATTGCTAGCAGATTGACTTAGGGAGATCTACTTGATTTATTCCTCATTCGTTTATACCTGTACTAATGCCTCTTTGGTTCTCTTTCAGCAGGCATGGGGAATCAAGTAGAGAAGCTGACCCACTTAAACTACAGAGAGGTTCCCACGACTGACCCAGCCGGCATGGACAGAGATGAGGGTCCCAGAATTGGAGTTTCTTACATATTTTCCAATGATGATGACGATGTAGAGCCTCAGCAGGACCCCGCAGAGCTTGGTGGAGAGCACCCTGCGTCACAGCCCTATGACCCGCAAGTTCACGAAGTGGAATGCTCCATTTATTACCGCGACGAGTGCATTTATCAGAAAAGCTTTTCTGGTGACCACACACCGTCTGGTGAGGTGGGGGATGGTGGTGGTGGTGGTGGGGGCCATTTGACCACCTACACACCAGAAAACCTATTGAACAGGTGCAAACCTGGCGATCTGATAGAATTTGTGGGCCAGGCCCAGTATCCTCACTGGGTCGTGTACGTGGGGGACTTCCAAGTGGTCCATCTGCACAGACTCGAAGTGGTGAACGGTTTTCTCACGGACGCCAGCCAGGGCCGACGGGGGCGCCTTGCCAACCAGTTGTACCGCTATAAGCCGCTAAACCCCGCCAGCGTGGTGCGGAACGCCCTGGATCAGGTGGGTCGCAAAGACCAGGATCTCAGCTGGAGGAACTCCGAATGTTTTGCCGCCTGGTGCCGCTACGGCAAGCGCGAGTTCAAAATTGGGGGTGAACTGCGCATAGGGAAGCAGCCTTACCGGTTGCAGATCCAGCTGGGGGATAAACGCAGTCACACGCTCGAGTTTCAGAGCCTGGAAGATCTCATTATGGAGAAAAGAAGGAATGATCAAATTGGAAAGGTGGCTGTCATCCAAGAATTGTCCAGCCATCTCCAGGCAGCCGAGGCTGACAAGGAAGAGGGTGCTAACGGCACGCCAGGTGCCCGGACTGCTGCTGAGTAGCACAGTCAGGCTGCTTCACCTTGGTGACGGATTAAAACTGAATCCTGCGAAATTGAGCTGTTCTAAGCCCTTTGGGCTCTTCCAGTGCAGGCCCACTCCAATCCCATGTGAAGGAAAGGGGCAAAGCTGATTAAGCATCAGTCCTTCGGCACTTAACTCCTTTGGTGCTTGCTTGAAGCCAGCAAGTTTATACGTTGAGGGTTAAATCTCAGGAAAGGTCTTCCTCATTTGCTGTTTATGCATAAGTCTTCTCTTCCCAAATGGCACCCCTGTTCCTCCTGCTTAGCTCCTGGCTTGTTTCAAACTGGACGAGGTCCAGCATCGGTGAACTACAGGATTCAGTGTTATAGCAAGGTCATTTCTCCCCCCCACCTCTTTTTTTTTTGTTTTTTTGTTTTACCTCCTTCTCCTCTGTTTTGGCATTTCTAGAATCTCTCCCTTTCGTTCCGCTGGTTTTAATGGCGTTCCATTCTTCCTATTTCCCAGGGTTTCTCTCGTGAGGATTTAACGGCTAAATTATTGTGCATTTGGGGAGTCACAGGGTTTTTGGCTTGCTTGCGCTGAAAGATTTGGCAAAGTTGTAAAGCCGAAGTGGCGTTTCTTTCAGCTGTGGCTGAAGGGCCTTTTCTGTGTGGCGTGGAGGGATGTAAACTGTTTGCGCAGAAAATGGGATTACCAAGAAGTGGAATTACCCCGGAATAAGGGCTGCAGTTTTTCATTTAGGAACGCTACCAAGAAACTCTTTCCTTTAATTACAGTGAAGTTGGGTTAAGCCATGACCATCCAATCTTTTTATAAGTTATTGAAGTTTAAATGGGAAGTCAGCTAAACCTTCTTAGCACCAATGGTTACAGCAGGATTAATGTGCTACAAATCCAAGTACTGTTTGAGCACACTATGTATTGTTGGAAGAGGTGACACAAGAGGCAGGCTACTGTCTTGAAAAGGCATTTTATTCCTAGGCAGTGAAGCTGGGTTGCCTTAGTTTTACTGTTAAAAGCCTGAGGACTAGGCTCTTGTTGCATTTGGAAGAATTTTTTTTTTTCTTGCAGCCTGTTATTTTTTTTTTTATTTCTTTATGTATAAAAATCATTTATTTCAGAAGCCCGGCATCGTCTGTGCATTTTTTCAGTACATTTTTATTTTGGTTTCATTCTGTGAGTAAGTCAGTAAATCATATTGTCTTCATAAACAATAGGAAAAGAGGAAAGGGATGATAGGCATTGTTCATTTTCAGGTTAGGAAATTTCTGTCTTCAGCTCCTCAAGCTGATTTCTGTTGATGCATTTTTTTTTTCTTGGTGGACTTTTGCTTCTCTAGGGATATTATTAACGCAAGGAAGGAGGAAAAAATAGTCGTTCCCCTTGTAGAAACGGAGGAGATTCAAAGATGTACTTTGTTGGCAAGACACAGTTATAAAGCGAGAATTGGTAAAAAAATTCTGCTCGGGCATTATTCCTACTAACATGAAACTGCAGCTGTGCAGTTCCCAATTCTATAAAAAAAACTCTTCAGCATGCATTAACTAGGAGTTGCTTTGTAGCTAGGAATTTATTATCTTCATTCCGATCAGCAAATAGAAGAAGCAAGAATTGTGTGTTTTGGTCAACAGACTGTTAACTTCCTTGCTAATGGCTGATTTTTCATAAAAGCCTCTGGTTTGTTTTAAGTAGTAAAGTTGCATATTGGGAAGCAAAGGTGTTTGGTGTAACTAAGCAGCATTTTAAAACACGCTTAGCAATTATTAACCGCCGCTTAAACAGACAATATTCTCTGCTACCTCTTGGTTGCAAAACCGGAAGGGATGCTTTTCAATTGCACGCATCCAAAATGAACTCATCTATTACCACCTTGGCAGAGGAGTCAGTTGATGTTCTGGTGCTTGGTTATTCCTCTAGAGTAAGCAACCTACGGATTATGGGTTGATAAGTGAGGGACAGACCGTGATAAAAGCCTTGCTCCTTTTCACTCTGTGCTTTGTTTGTCCCAGTGGTGGCTAGACAGAGTCACAAATCAGTTTAGACAAATCACTGATCACCTGAAATGAGCTTAGACCGTGGCCCCTTGATCTTGTAAAGAAGCATTCTCCGGTGTTCTTTTTTTGTGACATTCAGCCAGAAGTTAGTAATCACATCACTAAAGGCTGTTTTGGTATCAAAATGTCCCACCGTTCAAAAAAATAAAAATAAAAATAAAATCCTTCCTATGTTTTGAAAAATGCCCAGCAGGGGAAAAAAATGCAGTAATGTGATTCCTTCTACCTGTGCTGCTTAGTTTATCTTTGCAGTTTCCTATATATTGGGACACCCAAACCAGGTTTATTTCCCCAATTCCTCATCTCTAGATTAAAGTGGTGCAATCCAGGGAATTTGCTACAGTACTTCATTCTGCTGAAGGTATAACCCGCCATTGTCAGCCCATACATTTCTCGCATACCAAACAAGGACCAGCTTAACTTCAAGAACTTTGGTTTGTTCTGCTAATGCACTTCTGTGATTATTTGCATTAAGGAAGAAGGAAGCTAGTCAGGCAGAAAGTGAGATAATCCAGCGCTAATTTGCTTCCCCCATTTGCTTCTGAGAGTTCAGAAGTTGCGATAAGCAAAGTTGATAAGGAGCTACGTGTTGTGTTGGAAACGGTGTCTTTTTAGGAACGTGATGTATTCTGAGGTATGCGCTCTGCATACCGTGATTGTCAAGCTCATATGCAATATTGTATGTTTTTAAGCACAAAATCTGAACGTACCTAACTTGGCTATTGACAAGCAGAGCAGGTCCTTAAGCAGTGCTGGTGAGGGCATCTGGTGTTACTTCTGATGGATGCTCATCAAACCTTCTACAGCTGTCACTTTAAGCGGAAAATTTGCAATGGAAAAATTCTGCATATATTTCACAGAATATACACAGGAAGCAGGACTTTACTTCCATATTAGGACTGATCAGCATGGAGAACTCATTAAAAAATAGTAAATGTTTACTGCTATTAAAGAAGCCAAGATGATGTTCTTCCTGTTAAATCCAGCAACTGTATCCTAGCTTCAGAGTTGATATTTAGTTATTAATGATTCTGAATTTTGTAGAGAACAGAACTTATTTCGCTATGTAATAGTGGTTGTAAAATGATATTTTCTTACAAGTATTTTTGAAAGGAATTCCATCATGAAAATATTTACATTTTTTGAAAGTTGTATTATTTTCACAGAGAAATATATCCTCCAAATCAATTTTTTTTATTTTTGTCATTGGTAATCTAAAAGTATTTTCTAGATCATAAATAAAGTGTACAAAAAATGATAGATGTCAAACGTTGCAAATCTGTGTATCTGCTTGGTACTAAATTGTAAAGTAACTGAAAATATTTTTCTCTGTCTAGAATATTAGAGATAGTTAAAGGGGAAAGAACTAATTTACCATTTTTCTTCGCAAAGGCAAGATCTACTTTATCTGAATATTTGTTCACTGCTGGACAGCTGGTCAAATTCAAATCAAATGTATTTCTTGAAGTATAGTTACACAGATAATTCAAACATTCTGAGTTTTTCTTTTTATTAAGTAGTTCCCATGGATATGTTGATGTTGTCAGACATTGTTGAAGAACATCAGAACATTATCTTATCTTTGTTAAAAGCTTTCTGTTTACATTCTTGGTGGCAAAATTATGTGAAGGTCAAAAGATGTAATTCCACCCTCAACTTGTTGAACAAAGGAGCACTTTTTAAAAACTCCATGCAGGTGATTACTACAGCATTTTTCCTACCATCAAACTGTGATTAGTGTTTCCATGGGAAAAACCTTGTTTTAAAATAAAAGTTCTCAAATTGTGACATCCTCCTCCAGGTTGGAGACAGATCAAGAGCTCAACAAGCATCACAGGCATGTGTTACCTCTTCTTATTCCTCCTTTCCTTAATGTTAGGTTAATACAGAAGCTTGCCATACAGCATCGCTATACGCCAGGGATCTCCAGACCTGGCAACTTTAAGACTTGTGGACTTCCAGAATTCCTCAGCCAGCCATGTTGGCTGGGGAATTCTGGGAGTTGAAGTCCACAGGTCTTAAGGTCTAGAGCAGGGGTCTTCAAACTTGGCCCTTTTATGACTTGTGGACTTCAACTCCCAGAATTCTTCAGCCAGGCACGCCAAGTTTGAAGACCCCTGCTCTAGAGATACGTGCTGTATGTAACAAGAGCTCTCTCAGTTCTTGGAACTTCTTGATGGAGGTTTATGTTTTTAGCCTGGATATTCTGCTAATTGGATGGAGGGAATAGTTTATGTACACATACACAAACATTGGTTTTCCTTCTGCTGAGCTAAAGTTTTAAGCACAGTAGAAAGTCAAATAGTATCTCATGATTTCATAGCATGGGGTAGACCTCCTCAAGGCTGCTGCCATTATAAAAGAATGGGTATCTACTGCCTAACCCCCCCCGGGACTTGACCAGGTTGAGACAGCATGTTTGGACGTGCCATTTACAATTCATCTTTCAGCTCTCATTTGAGCTCTTCGACCCCAAATTGGAATAGTAGGGCTGACAATTATATACTTTGGATTATGAAAACTTCTTATACTTGGGTAATTCTCATGGATTCTTGCAAAGAATCCCAAAAGGCGACGATCATTTGGCAAAGACAAATGCCAGAAAGACATTGCTGCTTTCACAGAATCAGAGTATCCAGACATTCATGGGAAAATTCTGTTAATGTCCCAGAAAGGCAGTTAATATTTCTGTGCTTTTAACTTGGGAATGATAAACTCTGCAATCATGGCACCGTCTGGCTGCTTTTGGGTCACTTGAACATATGTAAGTCACGGCAAATATCTTCCCTAACGTGCTCCTTTTCAGATACTTTGGGCTACAAATCTCCACCAGTCTTAGCATCACCAAGGATTGGGATGATGGAGCAGTAACCCTAAACATACATAGGTTGAAGAGAAATGGTTTATGATCTGCTGGAGCACAATTGCTAAGAGCCCTAAGTAGTTTACAGATTGTTCTCGTGTTATAACCATTCATTTATTGACTGTTCAAAGTGACAACGGCACTGAAGACTTGCAACCAATCCTTGCACTTGTGACGGTCGTAGAGTCCTCATAGTCATATGATCAAAATTTGAGTGCTTGGCAATCGGCATGCATTTTTGATGGTTGCAAAATTCCAGGATCCTGTGACTGTCGGTTTGGAACAACGGTTAAGGTACCAGGCTGGAAAGCAGGAGACATGAGTTCAAGTCACGCCTTAACCATGAATACCAGCTTGGTGACTTTGGGCCAATCACCCTCTCTCAGCACAATTTGCCTCACAGGGTTGTTGTGGAGAAAATAGGAAGAAGGTGTGTTTGCTGCCTTGATTGTTATTCTGAAAATAGAGGTGGAGC